TCTGTAAAATGGGAGACAATACCCAATCCGGTTGTTTGGTACTCACAGGAAATACTCTGATATTAGTGTCCATTCCTTTTCATTATGCCAACCTTGAATAGGTTAACTATTGTCTGTAAACTAACTAGTTTTCCATGGTTTCATTAAATTATATGGGAATTGAAATGGCATGAGTGATTTTCAGATACTGCATTTTAAGTTGAGTGCCAAAACAGTACCTAATGAAGGGTCTGTTGGACAGGGCAAAGTAGTGATTTTTAATTAAAATTCACATTTGTACATAGGATATGGTCATAGAAAAGAAGCACACCTTATGGATGGCACATATATACAATACACAAGAATTATCAAAAATCATACTGGGTAAGTAGCATAAATGCTTTCCTCAAGCCAACACCAGCTGGATTGTTGGATAGGTGTAAAAAGAATTAGTTGATCCTTATTATATGCTGATTCTGTATTTGTGAGCTTGCCTACTCACTAAAATTTATTTGTAACCTCAAAATCAGTACTCATAGCAGTCATTCATGGATATGCACAAAGCAGCTAAAAATTTGAATTGCCTGATGGGCTGTGCTCTGCCTTCTTGTTGCAGCTCTCATGCTGTAAACAAGTGTCCTTTGCACGGTCTAGTGCTATGTTTTTTGCATTTTTGTATGTTTCGTTAGTGATTTCACTGTTTAAAATGGCCCCCAAGTATAGTGCTGAAGTGCTATCTAATGTTCCTAAGCACAAGGAGGCTGTGATGTGCCTTACAGAGAAAATACGTTGATAGATAAGCTTCATTCAGGCATGCGTTATAGTGCTGTTGGCCATGAGTTCAATGTCAGTGAACAACAGCAATATATATTAAATAACGTGTCTTTAAATAGAAACATATGTAAAACGAGGTTATGTACTGATTAGTTGACAAAAATGTCGTGACCAGAGGCTTGCAGGAACCTAACCCTGTGTTCCCCTAGGAGAAATGGTTCAATATTCACTAATTCAGTGTTCGCGGTGACTTTATAGAACATAACTACCATGGGTAATGAGAATTGACTATACACCTACTCCTCACTTACCAACTATCTCGTTATCTGAGATTTCACACTTACAACAGTAGTAAAAAATCTACTATCTGACTATTTTGCAGATTAACAATGTACATCTGGTAGTAATGAACACTGAGGTGTGAGGCAAGAGTAATGCTGGCTGTGATGGCTAAAGTTATGTGTCAACTTGGCTGGGCTGTGTTTCTCTGTGGTTTGGCAGTTACATAATGATGTAATCTGGCAGTTATATAATGATGTAATTTGGCCGTTGTGTAATGATGTAGTCATTCTCCATTTTGTTATCTCATAACACTGATTTTCACATAACTGCCTGGCCTTTGGAACCTTACTATGTTGATAAGTGAGGAGTGGGTGTACTTGGGTCCAGAAGGATGTGGATTGGCTTGCTTCTTCATGATAAAGCTCTCTGCATTTGGAGCAGAAAGATCAAGTTACTTGACTAAGGAGTACTTTGAATTTTTACACTGCAGTAGCCTGGAATCATGGTTAGAGAAGAAATTCTTGGAATTTCAGCAGCACGAATTTGAAAACCATCAAGGCAAATGAGAATTAGGACTTTATGTGGTGCTTAATTGTAAAGAAGTTGGGCAGGGACTTTGCTGGACCATGGAGTGAATGCTCAGTAAAGAGCACCAGAGTACTCTAAAAGGCCTTTGAAAACAATGCTCTGTCAAATCTGGGGGAAAAAAAAAATCAGCTTTTAGCTCTCTTCCTTGGCATGTATAGTTTACTCTTTTGATGATAGTGAAATAAGTTTATCTCACAGTATGTGAGGTGATTTTTTTTCCCTAAATTTTACTTATTTTGTTGTTCTTGAGAATATACACAGCAAAACATACACCAATTCAACAGTGTCTACATGTACAATATAGTAACATTAATTATATTCTTTAAGTTGTACAGCCATTCTCACCTTCCTTTTCTGAGTTGTTCCTCTCTCATTAGCATAAAGTCACTGTCCCCTAAGGTTCCTGTCTACTCTTTTCGAGTCGCTGTTGTCACTTTGATCCCATGTAGATAGTTCTTTATATATATA